CCCTCCCAGACTCCTGATCCTGCAGGTCAGCCGCTTCCTACACACTGACAGGGGGATCAGAAAGATTCGCAAGACCTTCCAGCTTCAACGAAAGATAAACATCCCCATCTTTTCTGACCATGCGGGTAACATTGAGCAAATACCATATATCTTGAGTGGAGGGGTTCTTCATGTGGGACAGGTAGTCACCGCAGCCCATTATCAAGCGTTTTATTTCCCTGGAGACAGCGTTGACCCATGGTCAACACACATGATACCCAATGATGGCCAAACTGCGCAGCCTGGAACTGATGCCACTCGACAAGCCATCCACACGAACTGCCACCTACTTGCATACACACGTGAGCGAGGTTAGTTGGCAACCGGGGCTAGCGGTTTTCCGCTCCCTCACTCAGCCAGCTGACACTGTGTGTGCAGAGACCAACAGTGTTGGCACTGAGCCATCCATCATCGCAAAGAAGAGGCTGAAGCGGTGTAAGATTGCTCTGGATCTACCACTCCGCATCTTCTTTTCTCACTAGGGATTGGTGCCAGGAGCAGTATCATACCGTGTCAGAGAGCTGTGGAAGGGCATAATCAATGCCTCGCTTCACGAAAATGACATCACCCAGTCTCTGATGCGTGCTGTCAGAAAAGATCCTGAATCGTCCAAAAGGGTCAAAGAGGAACTTTTCTATATCCTTACCACATCGGACTCGGAGTCCGAGGACGAGAATGAGTGCGAAATGGCTGCTACTGGTTCACACGAAACAAGGGCAGCCAGAAAGCCTAAGTGACTGAGTGCAGGCTCTTAGTTTCAACCCGTGTGTGCATGAGTGTGGGCGCAATGAAGGCATCATTTTTTCAAAGCGGAGTAGGAGGTCTCCTCACACTCGCTAAGGATGCTCAACAATGAAGGCATCGTTTTTAAAGGCGGTGTTAGAGGTCTCCTCACACCCGCTGAAGGTGCCCAGCTCACCAACTTGTACCAATATACATCTCTAATCTCTGTGCAGTTGTAGATATGTTGTAGATATCTTCATGTCCCAGCCATGACGCCATAAGCTGTCGGGCTCCACGGGGCACAGCTCCGCGGCTGCAAAGGCAGCTATACGTCATGTTGTCGGGCTCCTAGGATCACTTTCTGATCCATCTTTGGCATCGAGTCCTAAGAGGGCGAAGTTTTCAGTTGCGCTAAAGCCTGGTGCGGTGATTGATTTGGACAGTGAAGAAGAGCGTCTTTGAAAACTTGTTTTGCTTGACCGACTGTTGCA